AATAAATTTGCGATTTGATCAAAACCCAATCAAACCCACACCCCCATCATATCATTTACTTCCTCAACCAAAAAACTGTCGCCCGACGATTCATCAACGAATTATCCTAATTTCCAACTTCCTCCGCACCCTCATATTCCCCTCGCGAATGCAGCCGTGAGAAAATCCGTTGTCCCCTCACAACATGTCACCGTGTCTCAATAAACCGAGACAAACCACCTCCACCAACGAAAACTAGGAACAAAAACAGTAGCAGGAGGTTCTTCGAAAGCGAGTCAGACTGCGGAAAGGCCGGACCTCTATGCTCGGCTGGCGCACGACTCCTGAGTGGGCCCAGCGAGGCGTGGTTCCACGTCTTACGACCGTGTCTCAACTAGCTTAGAAAGAAGAACCCTACATCAGGTGCATTGTAACTTGAATAGAAGAAAAAAAACACTCGAGAAAAATCTTTTTCACGCATTTCTCCGCTAATTAAAATTGAAAGGATCATTTGGACAACAATTCTAACTCGCGATTTGATCTGGAGCCAACGGTCGTTGGCTATTGTCAACACATTGGCCCGATTTCACAAAATGTAATTCTCAGAAGGGGAAATGTAGCATTAAATGTGAACGAAATAGTTAAAATCAAGCAATTTTTAAAAATAATTTTTATTATTTTTCTAGCGATCTTCGAAATAATCTTTGAAAATCTTCGAAATCAACGAAATCATTCATTTAATTTTTGCTTTTTAATATACACCCAAAAAAATAATACTGTCACGGAATCGAATGGTTTAATCTAGCCTCTTCCCCTCTTTTGTAAAATAAACAGAAAGTTGATTGTTATTCTCTAATGTTCGGGAATAACTTCATGCGTGATCCACTTTTGTTCTGCGATTGATTCTGAGGAACTAGCAATAAATACGCCCCTTCGATTTATCCTGAATTATTTCTTAATTAAATACAACAATACCTTATTTTAAAATTTCAATTGTCGGAAGATGCGATTTTCAAAAGTTTTATTTTGAACCCTGAAAGTCTTAAGTTGAGAGTCTCAAAAGTCTCAATTTAAGACTGTCATGAAGTCAAGTTGATCCTTTTAAATGCTTCACGTTGAGAATATAAGAATTAAGAAAGTTCTCAAACAAGTCTTACTTGTGCCAGGAAAAGAGTTTTTTGAAAATTATCAAAAAAGGATTGTTTTGTGCCAAACATGCAGAGAGTGCGCTGGAATGAAAAATTTTTGTCGCAAAAAAAGATTTAGTAGTTAAAAAAAAATTGCATTCTCTGTACACGCAAGAAATGTCATTTCTAGCACTACTCCTTCGTTATTCGATACTCCCATACGTATTTTGCTCCCGAAAAATCTTTGTTTTATGCGAAACAAGGGATAGTAGTTTTTCGTTTCGACCGTCTAATAATCACAGACAACAAATGAACCCTTAAATGAAACAATAATAATGATATGATAGCAATCTTGTAACTGAGGGATAAAATATTTGTTGATAAAATTTCCTCTATATGAGATATTTTCATCCTGAAAAGGCACCGTCTGGTGTGAATTATCCGCCTCTTGAGCCAAATATTTCGTTGCTGTCGGAAGCAGAACAATTATTCATGTTTGAGACTTTCAAATTCGAACCAAACAAATTCTTTTTAGGCCATTTTCAACTAGCGTTTTTTTTGGCCCAAACAGGACTTGTTTGACAACGTGTTTGTTTTTTTCTCAGTGTACGAATAGTTTCTCATTAATCATCTTAACTACAATGATATTGTTAAGAGTTTCAAATGTGATTCGTCTCTCTTTTGGTTTCTATCAGTGAGGAACTTCCGAGTGTTAACAAACGACATTACTGGCTTTCAACTCTTCACTTACGTTCCAGCCCTCCCCCACTCGCTTCTTCGGCAGATAAAATTCTCTCTTCCGCCCAATTATTCCTCATCCTTCATGACTAATCTCATCACGATTCTGATCTTAACAACAATATCTTGTTGATATATTTCTTGTCGCATTTATTTGAAGCTCGTGTGCGTTCGATCGTCATTACAATTCTTTTTATTATCACCTTTGATTTGCTCCTTGCGTAAATCTTCTCACGACTTTTTTCCATCAAATAAAAATAATTATTATAGAATAATCATTCGAAACATTCGAAAGATTCAACTTGAGACATTCGCAGGTCTTAACTTGCGACTGTTGAAAGTCTCAATTCAGTAGCGAAGTGGTAAACCGGTACAAGTCAATTTTGACTGTTGGCCAATTTTCAATGAATATCTCGGAATCTAAGGAAGATAGCAAAATTTTTGTCATAACCTTTTTTGTAGAGCCCATTGAGAGCTACAACAAATGTAATTACGAAAATTCCGGTATCTCTCTTAGGTTCGGAAATATTCTTGAAAAACTCAGCTGCGAGATAAGTCGACTTAAATCGTTTTACCACTTCGCTACTGAATTGTCTATCGTCAGTCTCAAATAGAAGTTATTTATTTTTTGGCGCATAAATCTTCGTCCATCGTCTGCCACCTTCCACCAATTACGATGGAAAATAGCATTTTGAAAAACTCCTTGTAGAACTAATGGCCTCGAAACATCTCAATCCCCGATATTCTAACGGCATTGTCCCCTCATCAAAGGTGTGGAAACAGCATTGGATAACGAGTCATCCAGTATCTTCTTATGGCTTTTCCACCGGTCCAACTCCTTCTATATGCGTTGAACGCACGAAGGCGTACCTACACGCTGCCATGGTCCCGGAATAAATTATTTCCACTGGGTCTTCCACAGCTCTTGCCTCGCAGGTAAATCGGACTGAGACGCAGTGGTGGGATGATACCGGAAGCGTAGCCAGAACGGCGGAACCGCGTTCGAACGTTCGCTCAATGGAAAGTTTGTGTTCCTTCAGTTCAAACTTGAGAGTTTATGCACACGGGGGTGGGTGGATGGTACTCTAGAGTTAATGGATCTGGAATTTTCGGGGGTGACGAGTGTGCAGGAGTGATCTCACTGCTGGTGTTCAGTTCCGTTCGAAATTGTGGAGGGAAAATGTGAAAAAAAATGGTTTTCCGTGGTTTATTGGAGAGTTATTGGCAAACTGACGAACTTTGGGATGAGTTTTGGGGAAATTTTTTTGTTGGGAACGTTTAGATAATTCCGGAGGTTGACAATTTGCGAAAAAAGCGCTTAATTTGGGAGGAAGAATTGTACAATGAACGAGAATGGGAGTGTTGTTAATTATTATTAATATTTGGGTCTAAATTCACGTTTTTTTCATTCTTGAAATTACGTTTTTGTGGTTTTTTATGTTCGTGACGAGTTCGACAGTAAATTGAATATTATTCTTCTCTGAAAATTAAGAATTATTCTTCTCTGAAAATTAAGAATTTGAAATGTGGAAGTTTGTTTTTATTATTTAATTTGTAATGAATTTTGTGGAATTTTTTTATCGGGGAATGTTTAAATAATTCTGGAGGTTGACAATTTACGGAAAATAGTTCTTATTTTGGTAGGAAGAATTGTAAAATGAACGTGAATGGGATTGTTGTTAATTATTATCAATATTTCAATCTAAATTCACGTTTTTTTCATTTTTAAAATTACGTTTTTGTGGTTGTTTATGTTCGCGACGAGTTCGACAGTAAATTGAATATTATTCTTATCTAAAGTCTGAAGAAAATTGTTAATGTGATATATTTGAGAAAAATTAAGAATTTGAAATGTGGAAGTTTGTTTTTATTCTTTAATTTTTAATGAGTTTTGTGGAATTTTTTTATCGGGGAAGGCTTAGATAATTCTGGAAGTTGACAATTTACGAAAAAAAGTTCTTATTTTGGTAGGAAGAATTGTAAAGTGAACGTGAACGTGATTGTTGTTAATTATTATCAATATTTCAATCTAAATTCACGTTTTTTTCATTTTTGAAATTACGTTTTGTCGTTTTTTTATGTTTGTGACGAGATCGACAATGAATTGAATATTATTCTTCTCTGAAGTCTGAAGAAAATTGTTACTGTGATATGTGAGAGAAAAATGAAGAATTAGAAATGGGAATGAGTTTGTTTTTACTCTTTAATTGGTATATTTTTAGAAAAGACGAATTTTGTGATGAGTTTTGTGGAAATTTCTCATTTGTGAACATTGAGATAATTCTGGAGGTTGTAAATGTCGGAAAAAAAAGTTGTTTCAACAATTCTAAAAAATTAATTCATTGAAGAATTACCAATAGGTACCACCCGAGTTCCCATTTTTGTATTTCCTTATTGCCAGTCTTTCTAGTCCTCTTTCGAAAGTTTGTGATCGTAATAATGAAATAGTAGTGAATCTCTGAATAAATTGTGATCGTAATAATGAAATAGTGGTGAACCTCTGAATAATTTAGAAATAATTTTCCTTTTAAAAAAAATTCCTAATTCAGAATGTGAATGAATTTATTTCAATTCGTTGATGACAGAGGCATTGTCATAAATTTAATAAAAAATTTCTCGACAAAATCTATTTGAAGACGTCTTCAGAGTCAACAGAACATTCAAACCAGTAGCGAAGTGGTAAACCGGTACAAGTCAATTTTGACTATTGACCAGTTTTCGATGAATATTTCGGAATCTAAGGGAGATAGCAAAATTTTTATTATAACCTTTTTGGTAGCGCCAGTTGAGAGCTACAACAAATGTAATTGCGAAAATTTCGCTATCTCCCTTAGATTCGGGAGTATTTCTCAAAAACTCAACTGGGAGATAAGTCGACTTAAACCGTTTTACCACTTCACCACTGAAATAATTCTCAAGATTAAAAATTTCCCAAAAAACTGTTTTTTGAACTATTCTAAAAATTCTGTTCATTAAAAAATTGCCGATAATTCTCATCAAATTTAACACTTTTTGTCCTTGTGCTCAGTCGTTCTAGTCGTCTCCCAAAAGTTCGTGATCGTAATAATGAAATAGTGGTGAATCTCTGAATAAATTCTAGATAATTTAATCCAAAGTGCGAAAAGTGTCATTACTTCACTCGTCGGTAATTCAGAGATGGTCAGCCAACACGCAATGGCAACAACAGTGCGCAGAGTCAAGCAGGAGAATCGTCTCAGGCGACAGAATCACACTCAAGGTGACACGCGTTGAACAAACTCCAAAATAACAAGAAGAAACATAAAAAAATGTTTGGAATTGAACCCGGAATTGTCGAGCGGTTGGATCTCAATCGGCTGAACCGCGAGTGGAATAAAATCAGTCCCGCGTGATCTGAATAGCAAATTTCTCGAATGAATTTCCTGCCGCACTTTTTTTCTCAACTAAAAATAACTTCTCGCTAATTCAATGAAATAACTTTTAGCGGGGGAGTAGATAGTGTTGTTGAGTGCAGGAAAAATTGATGGAAGGGAAGTTTGTGGAGTAGTCATTTTCACTGTGACTGATAACGGGTATGACGCTGTGATATATGAACACTCAAAGTTTTAGTTTGATTACACCATTTTTCAAAGCTTCAATAGAATTTTTTTTCCACTTTTTGTGGAGTGATTTAGTGGGTTTCACTCATATCAGCGGATTGAAATTTGCGCTGCAGTTATGAAGTAAATTGAATATTTTTTATATTTTATGGGTGAAGAGAGTCGCTTGTCGTATTTCGCAGATAATGGGGAGGTGAAACACCTCCAGAAGATGACTAAAACGAGTGGATAATTGCGTTTTTTTATGAATGAGTGTAAATATTGTTGTTAACAAATTAGCAATATGCTTAATTGCATAGGTTCCTTTTTTAAAATTCTTATTTGACTATTCTCTTCTGTTATTTTTTCATGTCATAGCACTATAATCAATTGAATTGTCGTGTATTATTTCATTTTTAAAAATTTAATTTGTGTTTTATTTTTTGTGGATTTTTGGGATTTCTGTGGATTATTTCGGGCCGTCAAATAATTCGACATTCAGTCCCTCTCAAAACTGGAATTCGTTTTCCTCGGTACAACAAAAAGAGAGAGTTAAAATTTCTGTTTTCTTTTTTATTTAATTCATGTTTGGGGAACTTGAAGGCAAATTTTATCAAATGACTGTGTTAAACTTGTTCCAGATGATGAGACAATCTACAAGACGTTATCGTCACCGAAGTCGCTGCCGAATAATCGTTTGAACCCAGTGCCTCATCCAGATCACCAGAACGGTCACAACAGAAGTGACATTTACACAGCGGTCCAAGCTATACCTGGGCCACAGTACAGGATGCCACCCCTGTACGGTGAAGAGCAAACCAACCAGAATCAACAGCCAACGAGTCTACAAACACACAGCAATAAATTTCCGGTAATTACATTTTCGGAATAAACTATAATCGATAGAATAATTCAACGAAATCTGTCCAATTGCTGACCCTACATCCACCCTAGAGAAAAACGACAAAGTTCTCAAACAAGTCTTACTTGTACCAAGAAAATAGTTTTTCGAAAATTATCAAAAAAGGATTTTTTTGTGTCAAACATGCAGAGATTGCGCCGGAATGAAAAATTTTTGTCGCAAAAATAGATTTAGTAGTTAAAAAAAAATTGCATTCTCTGTACACGCAAGAAATATCATTTCTAGCACTACTCCTTCGTTATTCGATACTCCCATACGTATTTTGCTCCCGAAAAATCTTTGTTTTATGCGAAACGAGGGATAGTAGTTTTTCGTTTCGGCTGTCTAATAATCACAGACAACAAATGAACCCTTAAATGAAACAATAATAATATGATAGCAATCTTGTAACTTAGGGATAAAACATTTGTTGATAAATTTTCCTCCATATGAGATATTTTCATCCTGAAAAGGCACCGTCTGGTGTGAATTATCCGCTCCTTGAGCCAAATATTTCGTTGCTGTCGAAAGCAGAACAATTATTCATGTTTGAGAATTTCAAATTCAAACCAAACAAATTCTTTTTTGGCAATTTTCAACTAGCGATTTTGTTGGTCCAAACAAACTCTCAGTGTACTCAACGCTGCTTACTTTTTCATAGCTGATATTTGCCATGAAAGCGCCAACGTCAAACAAATCATTATCATTATTTTTATCTTCTCTCGAAGAAGAACTCTGTTCATTAATTATTTTGCATTTCTCACTTGAGTACGGAATTGAATGGAGCCATTCATGCAAAATAATTGGGTTCTTAATTCTAAATGAGTATTTTTAATCCCAAGAAATCGCCAATTTGCACATGAGTTATACAAAAAAAACCCATTGCTCCTCCGAAACCAATGAATTCATCGTTTCAAATAAGCTTTCCTCAGATTAAGCAAAAACTCCACTCGACTCTAATGAAAGAACATCGACTGAATCCATTCCATTTCCTCCAGCCCCATCGTCTCCCCATTTCACGAGCCCAGAAGTCATAAGAATACTTCTCATTTCCCTCCAATTTTTCCCATGAACAGACAAATAATACCCATCAGGCACTTGTGGCCCAGATTGTCTCCACATTATGATCGCACGAACAATAAAAAAAACTATTCTTAACGTTTCATAACGCTAACACGTATCCACATTAATTTATAATTGGTTCGAAGAGAGAAAGAGGACTGGAGGGGCACGCGTACGATGCGTAGTAAAGGCAGAATACATCAGCGTATACTATAACAGGTGAAATCTCCGAACAGTTCATCGTACGTTTGTCGGGGTGGAGGGGAGGGATTTGTTACGATTCTTGGGAATATTCTCAGGGGGACTATCACCTCAACGTATGGCTGCCTGATGGTAGAGTGCAGAGACAAAGGCTGGTGGGTTATAAGACTTGGTGTGTTTTACCGTTTACCGGAAACGAGACTTGCTAGTTGCTCAGATGTACAACGTCACTTTTACCTGATTTTTACTAGCTCTGTCGATCCATTTAAAGTAGCTCTATCCTTCGGCCAGGCTGCGCTGTACTTTTGGATATTTTCAATTTTTTAATTTTTCAACTAAATTGCATGGAAAAAATTTGAAAAAATTCATACCCAGTCAGTATTATCTAAATTAAATTTCGCAAATATTGATATTTTTTCAAATATTTCCCTCTTATAAATAAATAATCAAACTTGTTTGCAAAGCGATGGATTATTTTTTATGAGGTGTCAACAACATTCTTGATTTTTTCACATCTAATGAAAAAAAATTCAGATTTTAATCTTTGATTACAATGGAAATGTCGATTTTCACATAAGACATTGGGGTTAAATCCTGATTTTTTAACATTTTTTCTTGGATAAACCAAAACGATGATTAAATTGAGAAAAAAGTTAGAATTCCGAATCTAATCGAGTTTTCTGCAATTTTTTTGCAGTTTTCGATAATCTTTGAATTTACCGTAAGGGTAGAGCTACTTTAAATCAGGGGTGCACTCGGAGAAATGGGTCTTGACGGAAATTTCATTCGAACTTGAACTTCATCTTTATGATATTTGCGTTATTATTCGCATGGAATAAATAGTTTTTCGAAGATGAATAAGTTTCTTTGATTCAAATGATGAATCTATTGGGTACCTAGAAATGGAATTCTTTTCCCCAAAGAAATACTAATTTCAATTTGAGACTTTTGGAAGTCACGTTAAGGTGTTTCGTGTAGAAAGTCAAGATAATGAAAAAAAAAAGTGGAAAATTCAGTCATTGAGAATTCTTGCACATTTTTTTCAGACCTCAGTCTCGAGAAAAAAAATAATGGAATTTGAATGCTTTTGTAAGCCCTCCAACTATAGCCTCCGAGGTTACCCCACTCTCAATTAGGGAAATTTCCATGGCGCCCAAAAAAATAATAAACTATTGAGGAAAAACTAGTGGGTGATAAATCAAATCTTTCTCGAGAACACGTGTAAGTTTCAGATTTTTTTCAAATTTCATGAGAAAGTTATTTGAACAAATGATTCGGAAAATTATGAGTTTCGGGGAAATAACGCCCTCACGCGCAGGCGCGTGATTCGAATGTCAGTGAGCATCATGGGAAAGGTATGGGTTGGACCATGAAACTGAGAGAGAGAAAACACTCGACAGGTTTACCAACTCGAGACGCATTTTAATATTATTTCAATAATGAGAAAAACATCCAATAAAAATTATTTGACACCGGTAGGTGATGAGAAAAAAATCACTCAATCTGATAAATAAAATCAATATTCAAAAAATATTCAAACGCCCACTTAAATAGTTACTTGAAAATTGGAAAATTTCGTGCTCAGCGATTGAATCAGGGCTCGAGAACAATAAGACTCCCCTTCCCCCCCCCCGGTCCACCGAGTCACGAATCAGTGACTTTCGCATTGAGCGAATGCAAAATTCACGCAAAGGAAAACCTCCAGACATTTCTGAACTACTACCATCGCGTCCTCACAATCGTAATGAGTTCAAAGGGCAGGAATAACTCCATCTCCTTATTCCACTCCATTACCTCGGGAGTAAATTTTCAATTCTCAATTTTTCACTGCAAAATTATGAAAATGAAAAATCTGAAATTGAGACCATGTCAAATCATCCGGAAGTAAATTAATTCCACGTCAGTATTCCTGGCATTTTCATCCGCTGAAAATTGACAGAGAAATTCTTTTCTATTCCAATGAACGACTCAAGTGTCGGTGTTCTTACAACTCTTCTTATTAATTACATCTATAAAGATGTATACAATTTTTTTTCACTTCATAGAAAACTCTTACAATGGTGACGTTCCCACCCGCCCCTCCTGAAAATATGGAGCACAGAATGCTTATTATTTCTACACTTTCAGTCACAATTGTCTCGTCCGCTGCCATCACCTCATAACACCGCGATTGCCATCAATTTCAGATCGAGCGCGAAGTGGTGATCTCCTCAGCCGACAAGAACACTAAAATTCCAATTCTACACGAGTACAAACGAACGACAGGGAGAGTTGCTATTGCCCCTGATGCACCGGTGAAACAACAGGCGTGGGTGCAGGAGGTGAGTTATTTCACTCAATTATCTAATAAATAATGACCCGCTGATGCTAATCGGAAACTGTGTAATAGGGTTATTAGTCAGACGATCTTCATGACCGAATACATAATTAAAATCTGCGAAACGAACACAAAAAATCGTGGCTGAGATAACAGCAAAGCAAGATCATTCTATAAATATTTCTTTTAGAAGATATTTGCCAGAATAATTTCCATCAGTGACTCGAAAGACTCTTGAGGTTTCGAGACATCGCCAAATTACAGAATCAGTCAACTGCACTGCGAAAACTAATGTCTGAATTTCAGACACTTTTGTAGACACTTTTCAAACACTTTTGGGACGATTTTGCAGACACTTTTGAGACATTAAAATGTGTCTGCATCAATGGAGATATTTCAATTTCAGAGATCAAGATGTCTGAAATTAAGATAGAGACATCAGTTTCAGACACAAGCGGTGTTTGAAATTTTCAGATATCAGTTCGAATTTCAAACACTTTTAAAGATTCAGACTTTTTCTGCCATCTGCCATCTTAAATTCGGATGGTTGTCAGACACCTAGATTTTGCAGTAGATGAGTCAACTTTTCAGACGTGAGAAATATCTTAAAAATTAATGCTTGAATGGAATGTGCCGTCTGAATCACATGAGATATCTTAATAGTGAAATGTTTGAATCGCACCTAAATAACTGAATTTCAGACACAGAAAATATCTGAAAATAGATACCCCAAATTTTTGAGACACAAAAAATGTCTACCATCATTTTCAGACAGAAAGGGTGATTACAATTTCCAGACAGTCAGATTTTCAGACACTTTTGACGGTTCAGATGTTTTTTACCATCTGACATCTTAAATTCAAATAGCTGTCAGACACCTAGTTTTTGTAGTGTGAAGAGTGACATCTCGTTACTCAATAGATTATTAACGCATCCTGATACTTGGTCGAATTACAATGAATTAGAATTTCACGACTAAATCCATCGATTCGCTGACTTTCAAGCGCAGACAGCTCCATTTGTGCTCATGAATAAGACAATACCGCTGTCCCAGATCTAGTGCTCCTTGCACAGCGCTGTCCTGCTCATTGTGGGATAACATTGACAAAAAGTCGATTCGCCCCAGATTCCATTTAATAACACAATCGCCTCCTTTTTCCGGTGCGAATGACCCCGACTCGTTAATCGCTCGCAATTGCTCATAAACCGCTCGCAAAATGCTCACAAATGCCGTTAGTCACTCCCTAATACGAAAGGTTCATTTTTCTTCTGTCAGCGTGTGAGAAGGAAGGGTGGACTCGATGTTAACAAGTTATGAATGGTCATAACACACGTATGGATTGCCCCACATCACGTGATTGTCTTCCGACACACAAACATACTGCACGTGAAAGGCTACGCCTTGTAACAACTATTTCCCTATAGGTTTATGTTTGACGTTACTCATCCCGATGGTTCTCTCGCACGCTTCAACGGACAACTTTCCTATGCTTTCCACTTACCCAAGCCCACTTTACATATTGACGATACCTCGTTCGAGTTTATATTGGATTCCAACTACATGGTTGGAAACACGAGTCTGAAGTAGAATTTCAACCGAGTTTGAGGCTTTTGTTGTGTCTGGTGACGCGCCAAAATCATGGACATATTGGGGGATCCCGTAATTATCAGGGGATTGATGGCTCTGATTAGTTTAGGTGGAGGAAATTCCAGGAGTTCGGGGAATTTAGGTAAATAGCTTGCAGATTAGCTTGCTCAGGTTTTCATGGTCGAGACAGGAATTGTTGCGAATCTGAGGAGAATTACGGAAAAGAAACAAAGTTCATTGTTAGAAAAAAAATGAAATTTCATGGCCAGTTGACTACTAATTTTTAGGACAGTGACACTCAATGCGATTTAGGGAAAAAAATGATGAAAGTTCAGGGTTCACTGAAAATTCAGTAAAATTCCAGGAATTTAAGGAGCATCAAGATGAGAATTCCGTAAGGAATAATAAATAGGAAAAATAAATAAATTTATTTATTTGAATTTCGAATCTAATACGAATTATACTGATTTTTCAGTGAAATCGGAAATTTCAGTATTTTTTTTTTCCTCCTAAATCGCATTCAGTGCCACTGTCCTGAAAATTCAAGAATATATTTACCGGAAATTTCTGGATTTCTATTCATTTTCAGGGGAAAATGGAAGTGAAATTTACAGTTCTCTTTTTTTTCCACGAAATTCTGAATTTTCAATGACGAAATTCCTTGAAATTTCAATTTTTATTTAATAGAATTTGATAGAAATTTAATAGAATTCCTTGAAAAAAACGGTTATCGTTTTTTGGAATTTTCATGAGCCCCTAAATCACGCCATTTTTCAGTTAAAATTAATCAATATTCAATTTCCTCCTTCCAAATGGAAAACGATTTAAAAAATATTTCTATTTCTAACTTTATAAGAATGCCATTAGACTTCTATTAGAATTACATTCAAAAATTTTATTTGCTTTTTGCGTCAATAGTACTGAAGATTATACAACATTATCATGAAATTTTGTCAAGAAATATTTAATAGCAAAAGTTTAATAAATTTTTATTTGTCCATAGAAATTCTTGAACATGAATTTCCCATGTATTTCCGCTTTATTATCACATCTCTGTCACAATAAAACCCAAGAAAAAAAAATCAAAATTTCGTGCCTAGGAATTCTTAACGAAAAACTCTCTTTTTTCCATTAAAAAAATATCCATTTAAAAACGTACGGGAGAGTTGCATAATTTTTAAAAGAATTGTCGCAGAAACCTAGAATTTTTCAACATAATTCTTACAAACTACAACAGAATAGTTGCAGTAGAATTCCTTGGAGAACTCCCTCGGTTTTTCAATTAAATCATCCCATACAACGTATCCAACATTTTTATGAGGCCCTGAATCACGCCATTTTCCATTTGAAATCCATCAAGATTAAATTGCCTCCCCTAGCCACTTAGCCTATGCAAATGATCCTAAAACATAAAAAAAACAGGTCATTACATACTCCCATAAACCAGAATTGGTTTCCTTCAAACGCCATAAAATCCTCGTGTGCAAATAATACCTCATTCTTCATCGGAGTACATACCAATCCGCCCCGCGATAATAACCCCGTGGGAGGTGAGCGATTGTCCCACTAATGCAATAATTACAAAACTCCCGATATAAAAGGGAAAAGAAAACAACAACGAACTATGAAAAATACCCCTTGAAACAGATAAGAAAAAGGGCGCACAAAGAACTCCTTTTTCCATCGTAAAAATCGTGTTGTTGAGCCAGTAAAAAATAAATGGATTGCCCTGAGAATAAAATAAATGGACCAGCCAGCTAGGATCAACTTGAGAGCTCTTTTACAACAAGGAAAAGGGTGTTCTCCACAGAAACACTGGTTTTTCCTCAACACATCCATTTTTATAATGCAACTTTTTTCACCAATTTTTTTTCATTTCTACCACTATATCTTTTGTATCTACAAAGACATACTTTCCTCCGAGTACTTTTTCCCCTCCATTTTTCCTTCTTTCATCACATCTCACTTCGATGTCTCGGAGGAAGGGGTATCCGTATGCACAATGCATTTTGAACGCCCACCGGACGGAAAGAGAGATCTTTTATTTTATTTTTTTTCCATGTGAACTGTCAGTTGAGCTTCAACACTTATTATTCAAGTAGCATACGCTTCTGAGGATTGCCCGTACGACCAAGGATTTTCAAATTTTTTCTGCCCCCCCCCTCCCCCCGCTCCTTCCGCCCGCCGGAGTTTGCATTACCTCGACATCAGCACTGAGGAATTATCGAGTATCTGAAGGCACTGTGATGGGTGTAGGTGCATGTTCCCTAGCCACATTATACGGCCGTCGAGATGATCGTTACTGGTGCGATATTTGATCGGGCGCTATGCTCAACGACCGGAAATCATGGTGGAATTATCGCCCCAAGGATTTTATGGATGATAAAGTTGATGGGGGAGTTTGAGGGAGTCTGGCAATTAGAGGGTTGATGGTTGATTATTTTTTGATGCTTTTTTTTTCATTACTGAATTGAAAAAAATTAATTGGATCATATGGATCGCGAGTTGATTTGAGAATTTTTTCTACTTGATTCAAGTATGGAAGGTACTTGATTCAAGTAGGGGACATACTTTATTCAAGTATCTTCCTACTTGATTTAAGTAGGGAAGATAATTGATTGAAGCTGCAAAGATACTCGACTTAAGTGGGGAAGATACTTGATTTCAGTAGCAAAAATATTCGAGTCAAGTGGGGAAGATACTTGAATCAAGTATCTTCCTATATGATTTAAATAGGAAATATACTTGATTCAAGTAGAGGAGATACTTGATTCGAATGAAGAAGATGCTTGAGTCAAGTATCCTTCTTCATTCATACTCAAGTTCTACTTAAATAAAGTCGCCAACTCGACTTGATTCAATCCTATTCAGATCAAATAGAGGCTCCGGATTGCTCCTATTCAATCTTAAACTTGATCTTTCTTTATGTTTTAAACAAATGTTTTCGTGATCTAACACCCAAAAAAATCTTTTTTGATTCAAGTAGATCGCGACTTGCTTCAAGTATTTTGTCTACTTGATTAAAGTAGGAAGATGCACCAAAGTCGGGCCAATCTACCCGAGTTTTCGACTTACTTTGTGTACAATAAAGTTTATTTTATGAAGTGGTGTCAATCCCGAATTGTACTTGATTCAAATCCAGCTGTACTTGAATCAAGTGGCGGATTTGACGTGAAAATTTTTAGAGATGCTCCGTCCAGGTCCAGGAGATCTATTTGAAACGAGTAGTTTCTCGGCTTGATTCAATCCTACTCAGATCAAGTAGAGTCTTCAGATTGACTTAAGAATTTTTTCTTTGTGAAACAAAGATTTTATTAGAAGTAAATCATTGTTAAGGCAACAAAAAGAAGAAATTTATTAACACGTCGTAGTCCTTTACTTGCCATATATGAATAACTCATTTCATATCATTACAACATGTTCACTGGAGACTTTTCCTCACAAATAACGTTTTAATCTCCATCAAAAATCAATTTCCAGGGTAATCAGGCGCAAGATAGGCAAGAAGGTCATGCTCGAAACTTCCAGCCTCCAGAAACCCACTCGTAAGTTTCTCCTCCAGCGCCCCTTAACCCACTCTCTAATCAAATAATCTTCACCTTGATCAGGTCAACATCGACAGGCGCCGTGCCCCGTGCGCCAAAATCCGAGGACGACCGCAGTAAATCCCTCAGCAAGACTTATCACACCATCAAAGACATGATCTCAAGTCGCTTCGGTCCCTCTCGAAAGGACACCGACCCCGATCCGGAAGTGAGTCTCAACAATGTAACCGAGGAGCTGAGAAAATCCTCGCATAATGTTGATGAGGATGACTCCAAGAAGAAGGAAAGCACTTACAGCAAACCAAGGGCTCAGGATCCACCGCCGATAAACATGCAGCATTACCCTAAGAACAGTTATCAACAGTATGGTCATAGTTATTACCAAAGTCCCCAGCAGAATGTTTCAGGTGAGGATTTTAATGGATGAAGATAACTGGGCGGCTATAACTAAACATCGAATGTTAATGCTCTACTCAATGTGAAAGTGCATTTGAATAGCGAACTTGGATTTTAGAACCGTAACTTCTCTATCTGTTTGTGCACATCAACCACTCTTGATTCTACAAAATGATAATCGCTTTCATTTCCAAATATGCATCAAACTTCTGATTTAATACTAGATCCCTCAACTTGGTTTCCCTCAATTTGATGCACTGAAATTTCAAAATTGCAGGGGCCTTTATTGATCACGCTGCTGAGTTTACTACTTCAGTTTTAATGTAAAACAAGTGGAAAATTGTTATAGTTATTTTTGCCAATAAATTAACAATATGCTGCCGACTGGGTATTCTGCACATCATTTCCTTCTATAACATCCCAAAATGATGATAATTCACCTTTCTAATTCCCAGGTCAACTGCAATCAGCCCCCACGATTCAACCAAGCCTCCCGGGCCAAAGTGCCCAACTCCACGTGACCCACTTGACCCCTCCGGCAGGTGTCCAAACAGTTCACCAAACCCAGGTGTCTTCCTACAGTCAGCCAGTACCACCTCGAGGTGACTACGTGGTTCAAGGACCCAGCGGACACCCCCTCCACCAACACCAGAACGTCCCCCTAGGTAAGCACGGCCTCCCGATGCAGCCGGTGTCTTCCAACCCGACCTACCAAAGCCCCCAGCAACTCCTCCACCAGTCCCAGCTGCACCAGACCTCCAGATTCAACCAGCAGCACGTCCAGAACATGCACCAGCGTCAACTTATCCAACAGCTGCAGCAGCAACAGCACCAACTAGTTGTCGGCCAACAGAGTCCCAGGACCAACATGCGGACCCAGCAGCAGTTTCCAGCTGGTGTCTCGTATCAGCAGTATCAGCAAGCCCGACAAACCATCTCCCGATCCCAAATCGATCTCCCAAGCACATCTAGACAAGGTCTGGACGTGAGAATCGGTGGACAAGAAGTGTATTACCATTACAACCAAAACAAGCCTAGGTTCACAGGGACTCCACAAGTTTACATGAAACCGGAGAACGACGCAGAGTTCCAGAGACGAAACTCAGCGAGATGTATGGAGAAAGCTGTCTCGCAGCCTCAACTTTGCTACGATGACGAGAGAAATCCGGACAGAAGAGCCGAGAAGACAGAAGAGATTAAGAATCTCAGTAATGATGTGCTGTTGAGCGAAAAGTACGAAATCACAGTTGAGAATAGCAGTCAGGAGTTCAACAGAAATGGCAGCCAGCGGCAGAACGAGGACTTCAGGCCAGAAACAAGTTTTGGTAATCGTAGAGATGACATACGCAGCTCGAAAAAGGAGTGCGAAGTGAGTCAGGGAGAGGAAGTGACTAAGGAGTCTGGCGTGCAGAAGAAAATCGCTGAGCTTCAGAAGAGGGGAGATACCAAGGATGTGAGTGAGACTGATCATCCGAGGGGAGGGGTCAAGAATGGAGGGCAGGTGAATGAGGCTGCCAGGCGGATCGAGGAGAGCACGAGAAAACTTGAGATGAACTATCAGGGAAAGGAGGGAGGGAGGAAGGAGGAATTGGACCACGGTATGGCGAGACTTAAAATTCAGAACCAGGGGTCTGGGTCGGATTATGACAAAGCTGGACAGAGCTCGAGTAATGTTGACTCGGGACGGGGATCTGCGGTTTATTCCAGCGGACGAAGGCCACCCCCCGAGGATCAGAATCATCCTCAAGGTTGACATTTTTATCCTTTTTGGGTTATTTATAGAGGATGGCTGGTTGTACATAACGAAATTGAATTTTTCGGGTCGGATGGTTTGTTATTTCTTTCCAGTTATGATGGAGGTCTTCATCATTTGGTTGAATTTTTTCGTCAACTTTATTGATGTTTGAAAAATCCTATTCTGGGTCCATCTGAATTTCATATTCAACTGCATTGCAGAACTTCAATGATAATTATGGTTGTAGATCAGTCACAAATGATATTGCTGAAAGAAGTGTAGCTCTCATTAGTGAATATAAAGATCTGCTTATGAGAGATGAAAATAGCAAACAAAATTTTATGTGTTGGGAGTAATATCCAAGAAGGATCATCAATTGCAACAGAAAAGACTTAAAGTTTTCATTGGAGAATTGCTTGAATAGTTAATCGACAAAAACATCAAACTCTATGAATTGAAATATCATAATCTTTGTTTAATTTTTTTGTGAATTTTATTGATGTTAAAAAAATCCTATTCCGGGTCCATCTGGATTTCATATTTAACTGCATTGCAGAACTTCAATGATAATTATTGTTGTTAATCAGTCACAAATGATATTGCTGAAAGAAGTATCGCTCTCGTTAGTGAATATAAAGATCTGCTTATGAGAGATGAAAATAGCAACCAAAATTTAATGTGTTGGGAGTAATATCCGAGAAGGATCATCAATTGCAACAGAAAAGACTTAAAGTTTTCATTGGGGAATTGCTTGATTAGTCAATCAACAAAAACATCAAACTCTATGAATTGAAATATCATAATCTTTGTTCAATTTTTTCGTGAACTGTATTGATGTTAAAAAAATCCTATTCCGGGTACATCTGGATTTCGTGTTCAATTACATTCCAGAACTTCAATGATAATTATTGTTGTTGATCAGTCACAAATGATATTGCTGAAAGAAGTGTCGCTCTCGTTAGTGAATATAAAGATCTGCTTATGAGAGATGAAAATAGCAAACAAAATTTAATGTGTTGGGAGTAATATTCAAGAAGGATCATCAATTGCAACAGAAAAGACTTAAAGTTTTCATTGGGGAATTGGTTGATTAGTCAATCGACAAAAACATCAAACTCTATGAATTGAAATATCATAATCTTTGTTCAATTTTTTCGTGAACTGTATTGATGTTAAAAAAATCCTATTCCGGGTACATCTGGATTTCGTGTTCAACTACATTCCAGAACTTCAATGATAATTATTGTTGTTAATCAGTCACAAATGATATTGCTGAAAGAAGTATCGCTCTCGTTAGTGAATATAAAGATCTGCTTATGAGAGATGAAAATAACAAACAAAATTTAATGTGTTGGGAGTAATATTCAAGAAGGATCATCAATTGCAACAGAAGTCTTAAAGTATTCATTGGAGAATTGCTTGAATAGTCAATCGACAAAAACATCAAACTATAAATTGAAATATCATAATCTTTGTTCAATTTTTTTGTGAACTTTGATGTTTAAGAAATTCTATTCCGGGTGCATCTGGATTTCATGTTTCATGTTTTATGACTAAATACCCTATAAATGTTCCCTCGAATCAGGTCAAGACTCTGAGTGGGTTGACATTGTGGAATCCGAGCTGCGTAGTATCCTGGAGCCAAGAGACGTACCGGCGATGGCCCACTCCACTCTGTCAGAGAGTGTTTCCTCTGTAACGCCTCCACTGCCGCCACTCTCGCCTCATGGGAGTCCACGTACACCGAGGAATCGATACTCTACGAGGTAGAGTATAAATACAATGGGGTTTGAATTATTTTCGAGGAGAGAGAATGCGGAATTATGAGGTCTCCCTGCTACCCACATTTATTTATTACAAAATAGACGTTTAGTCATTAAAAAATAGTAATTATTATGATTAATATAAGTGAATTTTAATTCTGAAGTTTTTACGTTCTGATATCGAATTTAAAACATCGCATCTTTACACTCATTTCAATAGAAATAATTCAATAGAGCACAGGATCATTTACCTTAGCGATTTTGTTGGACCAAACAAGACTTGTTTGAGAACTTGTTTATTTTTCTCTTAGTAGGTTACACAATTCTTACATCATCTTTAGATTAATCGTCCATCACCTTAACAAATTTAGAATTATTTGTTTGATAGTCAATCAAAAATTTAAATGATTTCCAAATTTCAATGGAGATTAGCGAACTTGAATTATCTTAACCCTTCAGAACTCGCGCTCAGCTACCGACCTTCGTTACTCGCATGGTGAGCGCTGCGCCGCCCGTGCTTTCAGTAACGCAGCGTTGTCACGTTCATAGGTACGCGCCGAGCGTGCGGCCAGCGGGAAACAGCAACAGCGGAATTGAAAATTTTACATCCTTCGTTACTCGCACTGGGCGGCACGGCGCCGCTTTTGCGTATGAGCCTCAACAATTTATTATTTTTGGTAGCCTTCATGGATTTTCAGTGGAGAAGAACCTTACTAATCCATTCTAAATGATTCAAGCTAGGCATTCTAATTTTTTCAATTTTTTGAAAGCTCAATTTTGCAAGAGGCAAGCGAAAATTTGAAAAAGGCAGCGCGGCGCTTATAGCGCGAGTTCTGAAGAGTTAAAGTCAACTTTTCTTGGTATTACTGAAGTAATGATTATTGCCGATCCCTGATGCTCACCGACGATTTATTCATTTCAAACAGTTTACCGTACGGGAGCAAACCGAATTACGGTGATTATGGAAAGGGGCAGGATAAGAGGAATTTCCAAGGAAGCACCAAGCATCGCGGTGCATCCACTTCCAAGAAGGAGGCTGCCAAGAAATTCACGCATTGTAGGTTTTTCGTGAATTATATAATTATTTTCTTTTTAATTTCATCATTGTTGTCGGATTATTGCGGAATAAAAATCTAGGTTCTTAAACCGATTATTAATTTCCAATATTGATTACTTCTGGATTTTGTTATTGATCAACTCATCATGAAACAGTTTGAAATAAGTTTATAAAATAAGTTGATAAAATAAATTTCCATTCTATACTGTTATTATGGAATAGAAATTTGAATTCATAAATTAATCACTCATCTTAAAAACTCATGACAACCGAAATTGTTTAAAATCGATCGATGATTATCAAAAAATAGATTAAGAAAACGAATTTTCATGTTATCCTACTATCCTGGAATAAAAATCCGAATTTATAACTGTCATTAATTTGAAAAATCGATGACTCTCACAATTTTTCGGCATCGATCAATAAATAACGAAATCATTCAAGATAAATTCATAAAATTGATTTTCATGCTCAGTATTTGGTGTTGAAGCAGCGGATTTGACATCGACAACAACCGGACTAGACCTGGATTCAATGTTGGACAGAAGTGATTCAGACTTGAGTACGAACGACGCAAGGACCATACGAAAACAATTGGAGGGGCTGGAGAATATGTACAGCGAGGTAAATACTTCAAAATCCTGAGAAAAATCGATAAAATTTTCTCCATCCGTTAATCCATTTCGTTCTTCTTCACTGCAGGTTTTAAAGTTACTAGGCGGTAGCGTGAAGAAACGGAGAAAGGCGAGGGGATTAACGAGTTATGGATCAGTGTCGTCCCTCCCGACATCTTCAGTATCCTCGAGACCAGTTGCAAGACATCACGACAAAAGGAGAGCCCATGTAATTGATGACAGAACGAAGAAAGCTAAAGATGTTAAGGTGATGCATTAAATAAGCCGACACCTTCCCTATTCTTCCAGTCTTATTTAAGATTGGACTATCTCAACAAAAAGTAGATTTAAGAGAAAATGTCAGAAAACATTTTTTATTCCAAATTCAATTCTCTACAAAAAAGATCTTTTGACATTTTCCCCTAAAACGGCGCGTTTACGAGGTAATTCCAAATTAACAAGAATGGAAAATTCAATTTTCAATTTTACTTCGTTCACTTCATTTTGCTTATTTCATGTTCATTCATGTGAATGCAGTGAATCATTGAATTCAATTTAAAACACATCGTTCCAGAAATTCCATTCGAAAGCAAATTCCTAATTTATTAGCAAAAATATATTGACTGTCGTGACGAAGGCAAATTTTCAATAGTTTATTTTCTCCCCAGAGCATAAACAAACGCTTCCAGCGTTTGGAGTCGCACGTAGTCACCCTGGCTCGATCAGTTGCGCATCTCTCTTCAGAGATGAGAACCCAGCATCTGATGATCCAGGAGATGGAGAACATTAGAGGGGAAATAGCAGCGTTGAGGACGCAGACAAGTATGGCTATGGTCAGGTCGCAGTCTCAACCGCTGCTCAAGGATTCCGAATTACCTGCACTGTCCAATCCTTCGAGGGTCAAGAAACTCACTAAATTCTTCGGGACTGAGCCACCTCTCATTAGGTTGTTTCTGCGAGAGCTGGGATATGAGGTAATTTTTATCATTGAATTTAGAGCGCAAGAACCCTGGCAGTTTAGTAATTGAACAGACATTATGGATTTGGAGAAACTTTTATCCGTTTTTCCTTGCGAATGGAGGCATTGTGTTCGTTCAAATTTGGGTACTCAAATTTTTGGGTTAAGATTAATTACATTTTTTTTTCTCCTGAAAAGTCGGAATGTGTAAATTTTTTAAATGATGTACATTACAATTTATTAGAATTCAATATGGTTATTAGGTAATCAGAATATGGGAATTGGAATTTCAATTAATAAGGGTCGGAATATGGATCACGAGGGTCAATTTAAGGGTCACAAGATTCAAGTTAAGGGTCACAAGGGTCAAATTAAGGGTCATAAGGATCAGATTGAGGTCATATGAGTCAGATTAAGGGTCATGAGGGTCTGATTAAGGGTCCCAAGGGTCAGATCGATGTCATATAGCTCAAATTAAGGTTCACGAGGGTCAAATTAAGGGTCACAGGGATCAGATTGAGGTCATATGGGTCAGATTGAGGTTATATCGGTCAGATTAAGGGTCATGAGGGTCCGATTAAGGGTCAGAAGGATTAGATTGAGGTCAGAAGGTTCAGATTGAGGTCATATGGGTCAGATTAAGGGTCTCGAGGGTCAAATTATGGATCACAAGGATTAGATTGAGGTCATGATTGAGGTCATTAAGGGTCACAACACAATCATTAAAATTAATTAAATTATCGTTTTATATATTCCTCAATTCATTCTTATCATTTGTGTTTTTTTCTTCCTCTTTCATTCAGAAATACGCATCCGCATTTGAAAAAGAAAAGGTGGGAATGGTAGAGCTACCTTATTTAAGCGAGGACAGACTCCAGAAGATGGGAATACCCCTGGGGCCACGATTGAGAATCCTCCAGGAAGCGAGAATATCAGTCTGTAAAGATCCAATTTACGTCGTTTGAACGTACGGCGCTATATTCTCATTAATTAATAGGATAGAGGAATGAAGAGGACTATGCAACATCAAATTCGCAGTTGGGTGAAATAAGATGTGAAATTCTTCCGTGAAAGTCTGTGAAAAATGAAGACAGAGGGTGATATCTGCGAATGGAGGTACAAATTCAATATTTCCGGTCGTAAAAACATTTACGATCAATCTCAATCGAAAATGACCTTCTTCCGCTCCTGAAATTCACGAAATTGGCGAAAGCAGAAAACAGACACTTTCTCATTTCATTTTGCCGCGCTGTAATTCAAGGAATTTGCAGTATTAATCGAGGTGTGTAATTTACCGAGAGCTTTAGTATGAGGATACAATATGAAATAACGTCACAAGAGTAAAGACATTGGTACGAGAATTTTATACTGTGAAGACGCAATGAGAACCAGAAAATTATCTGCTTGGGTCGAATTTTTGGGGCTGTTTTTGATAAATATCTCAGGGGAGGTGAGGAATTTTTTGTTGGGAAGTTTTTTTTGCAAAAACAAGCAACTGCAATACAAAAGAAAAAAATTTAATTTTAATTTCAATTTTTTTTTAATTAAAAAAATACCGCGCGACGTTTTTCTTTCATTACAATCGACTGCCTAACCGGAAAAATTCAAAAAAATTTGACTTTGTCAATCGAAGTGTCTAAAAAATTATAGAAATTTTTAGAACAAGATATTTTCCAAAATTCCCAAAGAAAATAAATTATTTCGCACAGATGAATTATTTTTTCGCATGTTAAATGAAATGGCCCATGACGCGACGTTGCCGGAAACTCGCTAAACGCGCCCGGGCAGTGTAGAGTGAATTCGGCAATGCTAAAGCTTAAATGACACGGCGGGGAATCCCCGCGCAGGTGACCAATCGCTGGGACGCGTTTGGCGACCAGACTAGGGTTAACAAAAATAATGAAAAAAATATTTTTTCTTTTCCTTTTATGTTAAACAGATGCAATAAATGCCCTGATGAAAAATGCCTATAGCATTTAATTGAAAAAAATAATTCGGAGTGTTTCGAAATTTTTTCATTGCTTTTCGGCGATCTAAAAAGTTTTAGAGATTGTGAAATTTAAATGACGATTCTTAATATTACCTGCAAAAAACTTCTCACAAAAATCTCCCCGTCTCTTCCAAATTCAAAAACAATCATCTCAAATCACCCCTGACCTTCAATTTTTAATGATTCTTCAATTCAGCAGCGAAGTGGTAAAACGGTTTAAGTCGTCTTGTCTCCCAGTTGAGTTTTTGATGAATATTTCCGAATCTAAGGGAGATAGCGAAATTTTGGTAATTACATTTGTTGTAGCTCTCAATTGGCTCTGTGAAAAAGGTCATAACAAAAATGTTGCTATCTCCCTTGGATTCCGAGATATTTATTGAAAACTGGCCAATAGTCAAAATTCACTTGAACCGGTTTACTACTTCGCTACTGAATTAACACGAAATCATTCAATCCCATTGTTAATTCTCTGAACGAAAAACCAATTACCATAAACTGATTGATGACCAATACGAAGCCCGACTCATCATTACCTTTCAAATGTAGGATACGACTCATTCGAATTATCAATTATTCACGAAACAGACATGCACATTGTGGAGAGTATCATTGACCTAAGGGGACTGGGTCCTCTCCTCACTGTCAACAACTACTTAGGGACACGTGACGTTGTCTGATGACTCACGAGGGCAAACGAGGCAGACGGGAGGGGAATTATCGAGCATCGGGTCAAGTTTGCCAAAGAGTTACCGAATCATTTGTTTTTTTTTATATTTTCCCTTCTCTTTTTTATCAGTTATTCACATTATGCTATATAAATCGGTTAACGAAAATTTCGAGAGCGTTCAGGTACCAAAGAAATGACGATTGGTATTCCGAGTGCCAACCAAGTGCTTCCGGATTCTTGTTCGATGATTCTTATTCAATAAGTGTCAATTTAATCGATAATTGGATTTAAGACTTGAAAATAATTATTGTGTACAGTTGTTTCAATTAGGCGTAATGTTTGATTTAGGAATTATTTGTAGAATAGGATCATTATTTTATTATCATTATCATCGATTATCCACAATCACTAATGTTAATTGTTAATTGTATTTAATAAACATTATTTTTTTTCGGTTTTTGAGCATTTTTTCTTGTTTTTATTTCTGGGAGGAAGAATGACTTGGTTTTGCATCATTTGTGTGAGCAATGTACACTGAGAGAAAAACGACAATGTTCTCAAACAAGTCTTACTTGTGCCAAGAAAATAGTTTTTTGAAAATTATCAAAAAAGGATTTTTTTGGGCGAAACATGCAGAGGGTGCGCCGAAATGAAAAATATCTGTCGCAAAAATAGATTTAGTAGTTGAAAAAAAATTGCATTCTCTGTACACGCAAGAAATGTCATTTCTAGCACTACTCCTTCGTTATTCGATACTCCCATACGCATTTTGCTCCCGAAAAATCTTTGTTTTATGCGAAACAAGGGATAGTAGATTTTAGTTCCGGCTGTCTAATAATCACAGACAACAAATGAACCCTTAAATGAAACAATAATAATGATATGATAGCAATCTTGTAACTTGGGGATAAAATATTTGTTGATAAATTTTCCTCTATATGAGATATTTTCATCCTGAAAAGGCACCGTCTGGTGTGAATTATCCGCCTCTTGAGCCAAATATTTCGTTGCTGTCGAAAGCAGAACAATTATTCATGTTTGAGACTCTTAAATTCGAACCAAACCAATTATTTTTTGGCAATTTTCAACTAGCGATTTTGTTTTCCCTAACAAGACTTGTTTGACAACGTGTTTGTTTTTCTCTCAGTGTAGACACTCGTCACTTCGTTTTTTCGACCTTCAACCCCGCAGTCATCACAACTCCTCCTTTCTCTCTCGATTTATCAATTTTATCCTACAATTGTGAGAAGCGAACAAATTATCAGACTTCGAGCTATCAGACGAGAGATGAGGATTAATTCCAGCAGTTGATGTCACTCAGTTCTTGGATTTAATAACCGAGTTGACTCGATAATAATTGTTGAATTGAGTAATTGAGTCTCGGGTGTAATGAGTTCGTTTGTAGTGAATGAAGAATTTTTATCGGAAATGTATGTGGAGATGATATAGAGAAGTGCGGTCTTGTACACTGAGAGAAAAATTTCTGAATATTTAGATCATTTATTTGGGATAAGTAAATTATGGAAATGAAAAAAATCATCGCAAATCAAGACGGAAAAGGCGAAAACATTGAAGTAAAATGATATCTTATAAAATAATGTAGCGACGAAATCCCTAATTTCTGGACGACTGAGCCATATTTTTTTTATTTATTAAATGTCGATCAATAGAAAAAATGATTAATCACGTGATTAATATTATTGAAAGGTGAAATAATCAGTACAATTTTCATTTTATTTATGGAATATTCAATGCAAGTTGACATCGTCCAGATATTGACCTGTTTACCCTACCCCCCATCGATTTCAATCTCCGTCGCCTGTCCACGAAATTTCAATTTTTTGTGAAGACAGCCGAGAAAACTCAGCCATATCTATCTATTCACTTCTTTGCTTCTTGAGAAAAATTTCCACGTTCGAAGAGATATCTATGATAAGCTATTTATGCAGCTGCGTCAACAACAGATAAAGAAAAATAAAATAAATTCTATGAAATTTCGGGGGATGTCACAAAAATTACGAAAATTTCTACACGGAGAGAAATATTCAATAATAATTACGTATCTTTTCCGTAATTCCAGAGCGCAATGTGGTTGTACACTGAGAGAAGAACAAACACGTCAAACAAGTCTAGTTTGCGCCAACAAAATCGCTAGTTGAAAATTGCCAAAAAAGAATTTGTTTGGTTCGAATTTGAAAGTCTCAAACACGAATAATTGTTCTGCTTTCGACAGCAACGAAATATTTGGCTCAAGAGGCGGATAATTCACACCAGACGGTGCCTTTTCAGGATGAAAATATCTCATATAGAGGAAAATTTATCAACAAATATTTTATCCCTAAGTTACAAGATTGCTATCATATCATTATTATTGTTTCATTTAAGGGTTCATTTGTTGTCTGTGATTATTAGACAGCCGAAACGAAAAACTACTATCCCTTGTTTCGCATAAAACAAAGATTTTTCGGGAGCAAAATACGTATGGGAGTATCGAATAACGAAGGAGTAGTGCTAGAAATGACATTTCTTGCGTGTACAGAGAATGCAATTTTGTTTCAACTACTAAATCTATTTTTGCGACAAAAATTTTTCATTCCGGCGCACTCTGCATGTTTGGCACAAAAAAATCATTTTTTTATAATTTTCAAAAAACTATTTTCTTGGCACAAGTAAGACTTGTTTGAGAACTTTGTCGTTTTTCTCTCAGTGTAGCAAATTTCACGAGTGTCACGTAATTTTTTCCTGAATCATGTGAAAAATTACGATACCGTCACTCAAATTATCTGAATTGATTCCGTAATCGGTGAGCGAACAGTGAGTTCCGCAATTTGTACTGAACATTTCTCTCCGTGCATAAAAAAAACGTCAATAGGTCAGAGAAATTGGCTTTCCAATAGCAGACGACATTAATTATTTCGTCAATTTTTGGAAGAAACTAGAGCTGAGGGTGATAATCAGACCTCGTGTGTACGTGGGCCAGTTTCAAGAGGAAACGTACAATTTAACAATTGTGGTCAATTATTTTTCTAGTCAGTTCTTTGATTGGCGATACGAGACCGGCTCAAATGGGTTTTCTCTTCAGGGCAATCAACTGTCCCTCATCATTCATTCACTTTTGATCGGCTAATTTGTCCCCGTGCCTCAGTGAGTGATATCTTCTTTAATTCGTCGCCTTTTCATCCAGAGAACTCCAACGATCTTTCAATATCAAAGTAAAAAAAAGAGATTGTTAACATAGATTACGCGGAGAAAGAACACTCACATTTTAGCAATTAATGTCATTTATTCAAGTTTAACGCAACAGAATGATTCATAGATCGTCCTCTTATCATGAACTGGTCCATTTTGCTCCCCCCGATGCCATGTTTTTTTCTCTCAGCGATATTTTAATCGTATACTGTCGATCCAGTATTTCGGGATGCGCATTGCATCACCGAGATACTATCTCAGTTGACCTATTAAAATTTTATTATCAATTTCTTACCAATTTCTACGAAAACTATAAATTCAGATTTTTTGTACAGTCTATTCTGGTGATATTTCCCCTAAAGCAAGTATTATTTCCAAGTATTATTTTTTCACTGTTATTTTTCTGTCGCGCACTATAAAATTGAGAAATAAGCATTTTTTTACTGGATTGTTTTGACTCACATCGCAAAATTGAATAAAAACAAGTGAGAAATTGCTCTGCATTGCATTCCGAATGGTAATTTTGCACACCATTTCCTTCTATTATTCTAGAGAAGTCAAGGAGTCACGCACGAAAAAAGTGGATAGAAAAACCTATCGAATTCGTTGGAAAATTCTACTAAATTTCTATTAAACTTTCTATTAGTTTTTGGCTGATTCTATTGACATGTTGAATAGAAAACATTCAATAGAAAAAGTCAACAGAATTCGATTTTTCTATATAACTTATTCTTTTCATATATTTTCTATAGAATTTGCTCGACTCAAATTTTCCAAGTTTTTTTCATTCTATTTTTCTATTCTTGGCATCAAGAAAATCAAACGAAAAAACTCAGAAAATTTGAGCCAAGGAAATTCTATAGAAAATATCTCAATAGAATAAGTTATACAGAAAAATTGAATTCTATTGACTTTTCATGTTAATAGAGTCGGCCAAAAACTAATAGAACAGTTCAACAGAAATTCAATAGAATTTCCTAACGAATGCGATAGGTTTTTCTATTAAATTTTTTCGTCCGTAAATTCGAGAAGTTTCTTAAAATTTCACAAAAATTCAAGGAGTTTCTAGAAATTTCGATTGAATTCAGGGAGTTTCTAAAAAAATCGAGAGAATTCAAGGAGTTTCCCAAAAATTCGAGAAAGAAGGAACCGTTGCAGCTCTCCCATTTCGTTACCAACGGTGCCATGTTTTTTTCTGTCAAACTGTCGATCGAGCATTTGGAAATGTGCGTTGTATCACCAAGATACTATCTCAATTGACCTATGCCCCACCTCGATCCTGCAACCGCGTCTTATCTCCCCTACTCCTACTTGAGATGCTCCAGCATTTAGATCTCACTCACTTTGTGTCGAGGACTCATCACGGGAAGATCAGAAAAAACATCAATTAGAATCATTATGAAGAACTTTTTGGTGATTCTTGGAGTTGCATGCGTTGCACTCGTTGGGGCTGATGTTGTGCAGTTCCAGCCCTGCTCATACCGTGAACGTAAGTAACTACAGTTTTCAATAAATAAATCATCTAAAGATTCTTTGAATTTTCTTATTATAGACTGATTCTACGATTTTTGTTATTTATGTATTTATCACGGGGATGGGTGCACTGAAAAAAAAATATTTTCTCGAACAACTTGCACGAAAAAATTTAACAGAAAAATCTATTTTTTTTTAATTTGAGAAAATTCACTTTTTCGTGAGAAATACGTCTTGTTTGAGAAGTTTTTCGTTTTTCTCTCAGTTTCATTTAGGGAGAGATGTCCGAGGAACTTCTTCGTAAAGAATTAAACTTCCGATAAAAATTTCTTCTTTTTTCAGAAAAGAGTTACTGATTTTAAAAATTCATGCTTTCACCGTGAATCGTTGAAGAATAAGGAAGATTTATCAATTTCAGAAGCGCAATCTGTAAATACAGTACTACAAGTCTACTTATTTTCAGTGAACAATATTCTTAAAACAAGAATAGCGATTTTTAGAATTAAAAACAATCCAGTTCTGAAAACTGCTGAATTATCTCAATAATCAGTTTTTTTTTTGAGAAAATTTCATTTTTCATGAGAAATATGTCTTGACATTTTATCCTAAAATCAATCATTCCCAAGATAATTTTTTTTTGAACATTAATTTAAAATAATGGAGTCAAAAGATTAAATTTTTTCAGAAAGATACTTGAAACATGAGTAGAATTATTTAATTTTTTAATAATTCTGATCAATTGAGCGATGGCGCCAGATTTTTTAGGAAAATCTTGACAATTATGCCAGATTTTTAAAGAAAATCTTAGAATAAATGAACATTTCTCATATTAAAAATGTTAAATTTATTCATTTAAAAAACGGCAATTTTCAAAAAAAATATCCCTCGATATTCGCTTCAACAAGCAATCAATGAATAATTTCAAATAAAATCATATATGTGATAATGTGATTTGGTTTTACTCTCCAGCCACTCAGACCAACTGTACAGTCCACGAACTGCGTATAAACCCGTGTGCAGAAGCTGCAGAGGGTAAGCCATGCCGAGTGAAGCGAGGAACTGATGCCAGTATTGAATTCGATTACACAACGAGTGAGTTTAACAATAGAAAACAAATCTTCAACTGTAAACCTTCAGTACACATCTCCAGTTGAACGAAACCCACATCATAACGCATTCTATTCTCCATTTCCTCTAAAATTCGAAGTCATTTTTCATTTCGAATCGAAGCTGTGGAATCGTTTAAATTCAAGTTTCAGATTTTTGCTTCTGAATGTGACACATTGCATTCGTCAAATATGAAATTTATATTTTTTTGTGTGACGATGACTGATTTTAGTGTCAAGAGTTTGAATCTGCTGGTTTTAGACCATGTCCGTACGAATGTATGTCGAAATCATTTCAATTATGGCTTGAAATACTCTTTTGAATGTTATCTTGGTCGAGTTCGAAGATAGCGGCGATCGCACCATTTGCTTTGTAATTATAGCCTTAAAAAGCATTTAATCGAGGTTTAATCGTGGTTTATTCGGGATTTAGTCGGAGGTTAATCAGGGTTTAATCAATGTTTCGTCAAGGTTTAACCAATGTTCAGTGGAAGTTTAAACCAGTTTAATTTTAATTTAGTCGGCGTCTGTTAAATGTTTAACCAGGGCATATGGAGCTCATGTTAAGACATTTGGGACATTCAGGGATCATATTAAGGTTTCATAGCTGGTATATCTTCTTCCCCATTTTACCATTCAGAAGCAAATTGCTAATTCATTAGCAAAAAAGTTATACTGGTCTCAAGTCCAGTTTAAGGAAAACTATTCAGGAGAAAAATAAAATTTAAATAATTTACTTACGACCGAGGAGACATCAACATTGATGTATCAACAGCAAGAACTCTAGTGATATCAAATTTTCCATTCATTTTGTTTTCACTCAATCTGTCTAATTTGAAATGAATTCAGTTCACTAAAAAAATTTATCTCAAATTGTCTTTTAAAAAAACTATTGAATTTTCTGGAGGTTAAACTTCAGGAAGGATCTCTACTAATCCGAAAGTAATGACAGAACCCCGAATATGCACTTTTTCGTTTTATTTCGATTAATCCATTCGGAAGCAAATTGATAATTTTTAGCAAATAACTATGGTTGATTTGGGCCTGTGCAATGGGCCACTTGTTTCATACGCGTGACCTTTCCCCCGAGTCAGTTGTTACGATTTGTTATGATGACTCAACACAGCTTCATTGATAATTCCCCTGGATTCTCCTGAAATTATCATTTCATCATCATCGTAAATCGAAAAAGTGGCATTCTAATCCACGATCATATTTCAGACTTCGCGGCTGACACGCTGCAGGGACGAGCTTACTGGGCCAATAAGTTGATGGATGTGCCCTTCCTGGGAATGGAAACTAACGCCTGTCTGTCCACCCCTTGCCCCCTTAAAGCTGATACCAAACAGACTTATAAAATGGCTCTGCATGTAGATACGAAGTACCCAGCTGTAAGTTTAACCAACTGTTGATAACTATAATCTTAAAACGATAAACAATCTCATTTATTCAGTGAAGACTTTTTGATGAATATCTATGGAAGATGGGGAAATTTTTTATCAGACGTAGAAAAAGTAGAAGAGTTAGGGCAAAGAAGGCTTCAATCAATGGTCAAACAATTTGATTTAGTAAAGACTTTTTGGTAAATATCTCTGGATCGGAGGGAGATGGGAAAATTTTTCGTGGAAACTTTCTTTCCGCAGAAAAAACTTTAGGACTACAAAAAAGTTTTCTCAATTAATAATATCAAAGTTTTCACTTTTGATATTATTAATTGTGATATTTTCACTTGTAAAAGTTTCAACTATTGTTGAAGTGAGAGGTCTAGTTCTGAAATTTGTGAAACTTGTGAAATTTCAAGGAATTATGTTGATAAAAAATGCACAATTTGAGAAGAAGTGAAGATGAAGATGGAATTAAAAAATTCTAATGAAGTGAAGGTGAAGGGAATTCAAGTGGAGGTATTCTTGAGTTTGGGATTAATTGATAATTCGATGTAATTAAGCGCAGAATATTTATGTTTTAATTAAAAATTCAAGGGATATTAGTGGTCACACGGCTAGTGGGCGGCTCCGGGCATCATGAATTTATGACTGAATCAATGAATGAACTTAATTTGATTGAATTCTCAGTAAAATAAAAAATTCGATAATTTTACACAATGTTTATTTCATTCACATGCCAAAGAATTGCGTAATTAGAAATTCACAATTTGATGAAGAAATCAATGAAAACTGAAAATTTCAGTTAATCGTTCCATGAAAAAGAATAAGGATCAGAAAAATTCGAATGAAGGTGAATATTCATATTCAGTGCTCAAAAAATGTGACATTTCAAAGTCTTAAAATTTTAAATATCAAATTAACCATCAATTTGTACATTTAAATTTCGAAATATTCTATCAACGAATAATTTAGGCCGGAAGATTGACGATTATTTGGATAATCGAAAAATCAAGTACTTAAATTTAGAATTAGCTTGTTAACTAAAAATTACATTTCAATATTATCAAATATTTTATTCATCATTAATCGGAAAATTGAGTTAATAAATTCTATAATATTTTAAATTTGTTAAATATAGTTAAACTTTGAACAATATAATGAGATAATCTGTTTCAATATTGTCAAATTCTAATATTATTGCTGTTCATATCAATTTCTGAATTTATGAATGAATCCACGAACGAATGGCAATCGAGAACGAGCACTTGAACTTTCAGCCAATTAATTAATCAGAAGTGACTGGACGCAAAGAAACTCTCAATTTAATTGTTCAGCAATGGAGAATAGTTGCAAGGTCGCTGTCCCGTAGATTAATAAATCACCAAATTGTGAAGCGAGTATTCAACAGTCTAATAATAGCCCATGATAATTGTCACTCTTTGGGAAGTGAATGAGTGGACATGTGTAACACTTTCTGCCGCTCTCTGATAATTTTCAATCCATTCAATAATTCAATTTGAAATGAAAGCTCGTCTTTGGTCCACGAGCTTTCATTCATCCAGAGGCAAATAACTTGTTTCAGAGGAAAATTCACTTCTTCCTCTTTTTACAGTTTTATTCTCATTTACTCCATCAGTTGTTCATTTGCTCAGACAAGTGAATACAACTGTTTCAATTTTTTTATCTCAACTCATTTTTTTTTGTTATTTTCGCAGAGGAGTTTCGACGTCAAATGGAAACTGTGGAATCAGCAGGAGCAGGAGTGCTGCATCGTCTTCCAGATTAAACTGACCAAATAAACAGAATATTTTTTGCAATTTTTGTGAATGCATTTCATATCCGTTCCATTGTGAACACTCGAATTAATCGAATTGATTAATAAACAAGTTGCAAATTTCTTTTATATTAATATAGTATTGTTTTTTTGGCTTATAAATTAGCAATATGCATCACCTGCTTCTATAGCATATAATGCATCGTTACATATAAAAAAAAAAGGAAATTTTATTAAATTCAATGAAATTTCTTCTTTAATTTATTATGTTGCATTTGCAATTTTCTTAAAATATTTGATGAAATATTAAATATGAAATAATATATAACTACACCATCCATTTATTCGATGAAAGGGAAGTCGAAGTAGACCATTTTTATGACAATTGAATCAATTTTGACCTTTCTTTTTTTTATTCAAGTAAATTTTACGAAAAATGGAAAATCAACAAACTTCAATGGTATGAGAATAATTTACGAAATTCTTTTATAAATTGAATGGAAGAATAATGCTATCTATATTATGGAATAAATTTGAAACATCATGTTTGAGGAAACCATCAAAAAGTTAAGTTTCAGAGCAATTTATGAAAAATTCTAAATTTAGGAAAATCATCATAAAAATCAAGCCAGCGAATACAGCACGCATGAAAAAATTCAATAGAAAACCTAGCGAATTTCTATTGGAATTCTATTAAGAAATTCTATTTATTTTTTGCGCCGATTTTATTGGATATTCAGTAAGAAAAAATCAATAGATTTTGGATTTCTGTTGGAATTTTTCTCCTCAGATTTTTTCTATTATAATTATTGGGCACAAATTTTCTCAGTTTTTTCCCGCTGGATTTTGTTTCACTTCCCATTACAGAATCCGAGTGGAAAAGACTTAGAAAAGCATTTTTATAGAAAAAATCTCAAGAGAAACTCCAAACAGAAATTTGAAATCTATTGACTTTTTCTTATCGAATATTCAACAGAATCAGCGCAAAACACAAATGGAATAGCGAAGGTGTCAATTTCGATTTTTTTTTTGCGATTTTTGCTGCAAACATTGGACATTTGAGGAAATTGTTGGGAGAAAGTAATATAGAATGGATATAGACAGGCTTTTGGACTGAATTAACGAGAAAAAAAATACCCGCTGCGGACAGGATTCGAACCTGTGCGGGCAAAGCCCATTGGATTTCGAGTCCAACTCCTTAACCACTCGGACACCGCAGCTTTACTCACGTCGGTCTTTCAAATTGCGAATTTGTTCGTGATTACGCTTTTTCATTGTTTTGGGCAATTAAACATTTTCAATTACAGCAGCATCAACTCATTCATTAACTCTTTTTATCAACACTAACTTTCGGAAGTTGAAAATTTAGTTTTCAATTTAATCTGTTTATTATTTACTTATTCAACTATTGATTAGTTTTTCTATAACTGGATATAATGAATTATTAATTTTTCAATTCTTCAAAATTGCAGTTTTCAATTTTATATTTGATTTGATTTAATTTTATTTATTTGCGTACAAGAACCAACAGCCGGAGCCAATGGCAGATTCGTGAAGATACATACGTCAGTTGAAACAATGAATTAAATATCTTATATAAATATAAAATAACATCTAATCCATACTTGATTAATTAACGGATTAAAACGATTTATTATTTTAATTTTTTACTTTCTGCTGAATATTAAAGGGTTTCGGCGATGAAATGCGCATTGAGGACTGGAAAATGAAAAAGTTGTGAAGTAAAAAGTGAAAAAAAACTCATCAGAAATTAAAGTTTCACCGGGCAAAAATTTCAATTCTATTTCCAACTGTCACTCCCTCAAAAACGTAACAGGAACCTCACTGACAGAGATAAGAATCAAAGGGCTCGTTCCTCCGGTACATTTACACTGTTTCCCATTCCCCGTGAGATGAAACTGGAAACGAGGAATAATTTTAGTCACGCTCAGCTCGCCCAGTCTCAGCTGTTGTCGGCGGCCGGAAGTGGCTTGGGGTGGCGAGTGTTCTTGAATTCCGCGTGAGAAACGAAAAAAATTGAGGTGAAGGAGTGCCTTCACTCTGACCAATGAAACCGATTCAATGTGTCAGAGAAGGAGAAGAAGTAAAGACGAATGGGAAACGAAACGTATGAATTCGAAATCCCCCGGAGGTTGACTTCTACTACGTGACCCACATTCCATTTTCGATTCGTACTACCTGGAGAATGCGCCAATTACTATTGTATGAGACTGATGATAGTGAAGGAATAGTATATTTTGTCATTTTGTGACAAAAAATCTCGTCACAACCCCCATATGACCCCCATAATCCTTATTCTGATCCTTATGACCCTTAATCTTGTCCTCGTTACCCTCATTCTGAACCTCATAACCCTTATTTCGACCCTCGTGATCCTTATTCTAACCCTTGTGACCCTTATTCTAACTCTCATGACCCTGATTCTGAACCTCGTGACTCTTATTCTGACCCTATGACCCTCATTCTGACTCTCATGATCCTGATTCTAAACCTCTTGACTCTTATTCTTACCTTTAATCTGACCCTTGTAACCCTTAATCTTATCCTCCTTAATCTGACCCTTATTCTGCCCCTTACAACCCTTATTCTGACTCCGATGACCCTGATTCTGAACCTCGTGACTCTTATTCTGACCCTATGAACCTCATTCTGACTCTCATCATCCTGATTCTGAACCTCTTGACTCCTATTCTGACCCTTGTAACCCTTAATCTTATCCTCCTTAATCTGACCCTAATTCTGACCCTTACGACCCTTATTCTGACTCTCATGACCTTGATTCTGAACCTCGTGACTCTTATTCAGACCCTTACGACCCTTATTCTGACTCTCATCATCCTGATTCTGAACCTCTTGACTCTTATTCTGACCCTTAATCTTATCCTCCTTAATCTGACCCTAATTCTGACCCTTACGACCCTTATTCTGACTCTCATGACCTTGATTCTGAACCTCGTGACTCTTATTCTGACCCTATGACCCTCATTCTGACTCTCATCATCCTGATTCTGAACCTCTTGACTCTTATTCTGACCCTTAATCTGACCCTTGTAACCCTCAATCTTATCCTCCTTAATCTAACCCTAATTCTGACCCTTACGACCCTTATTCTGACTCTCATGACCTTGATTCTGAACCTCGTGACTCTTATTCTGACCCTTACGACCCTTATTCTGACTCTCTTGACCTTGATTCTGAATCTCGTGATTCTTATTCTGAACCTATATGATGGTTGTTGTTTTTGTGTGCCAAGCCTCGGCAGTGTCTATCGGCGCTACACCACCGTCAGATGATTTCTGCACAACTCAAGCTTGCAACTATGCTGGTAAAATCAATATCAATCACTGAATGTATAGAATACTTGTTGTGTGGCCCAAATGTTTCCTGAAAATTTCCTCTAATTTTATAGAAAACGTGAGAATTATCTTAAATTTTCTAGAAAATCGGAGAATTGGAACTGTTTCTTCAGTTTTGTGATATTATGACGATATTTAATGTACTTCGTTTATTCTATTCATCTTCCTTATTTCTTAGCTGAAAAGTTTATGGCAAAAATGGACACAAGCATCAACCCGTGCAATGACTTCGACAAATTCGTCTGCGGTGGAGTTTCAAACAATCCGCTGAGCCTAGACGCTCCAGAATTGGGCGACAGCGTCACCGTCCTTACAGACAAAACCTGGCAGCAGTTGAAAAATATTATGGAGAGCCCCAGCTCGTCCGCGGATCCTAAACCCTTCGAGCTTGTTAGGAACTTTTACAAAAGTTGTATGAACACGGGTGAGTACAATAATTGATGATCGAGAAAATCTTTGGCTGGAGACAAACAATCTTCTTACATCACGCTCGAAAAAATTTAATAGAAAAACCTATCGAATTCGTTAGAAAATTCTATTGCATTTCTATTAAACTTTCTATTAGTTTTTGGCTGATTCTATTGACATGTTCAATAGAAAACATTCAATAGAAAAAGTCAACAGAATTCGATTTTTTTATGTAACTTATTCTTTTCATATATTTTCTATAGAATTTGCTCGACTCAAATTTTCAGTTTTTTTCATTTTATTTTTCTTTTCTTCTCGAATCACCTTCGTCTTCGAAGTCAGCCAAAGGGACATCGAAATAATTTTTCAAGCCGTAATTGAATTAATTCAAACTATTTTTGAAATAATCGTGGGACTATCAATTTTTGACAAAATTCTGAAATTCGAAAAATTAATGTATGAATGAATTGTTAAGTAATGTCGCTCTTCTGTGGCCTCTTTTTTGAAAATCAAATAAATCCGAGATAAATTTTGTACAGATATAAATCATATTTACTGAATTTTAGAGGCTATTGATGCCGAGGGTTTCCAGCCAATCGTCGAAGCGGCGAAGAGATTTGGAGGGTGGCCAGTGCTAGAGGGAGACAAGTGGAATGAAGAAGCATTCAACTGGACTTTTTCCGACTACTTATTCCACCCATTGGAATTTAGAACAATTCCTGGAGTGGGCATTTCCATTGTAAAAGATCCGGAGAACAATACCAAACGAAGTATTTATGTATGTTCATATTTCCAGTACATAAACAATCAATATAGTACATTGAGAGAAAGACAAACACGTTGTCAAACAAGTCTTGTTTGGGCCAACAAAATTGCTAGTTGAAAATTGCCAAAAAAGAATTTTGCTTGGTTCGAATTTGAAAGTCTCAAAGATGAATAATTGTTCTGCTTTCGACAGCAACGAAATATTTGGCTCAAGAGGCGGATAATTTACACCAGACGGTCTGAGGATCTGAGGGATAGCCATATCCATAAATTATAATTACTGATAAATTATTACGCTGTCAATGAGTTAATATCACTCTTAAATTTTAATTATTGAAGTAATCATCAATTTAAAAGGTCTAATTTCGAATTATTCATTAATTAGAAATTGAGGTAGACTGAGAGAAAAACAAACACGTTGTCAAACAAGTCTTGTTTGGGCCAACAAAATTGCTAGTTGAAAATTGCCAAAAAAGAATTTGCTAGGTTCGAATTTGAAAGTCTCAAAGATGAATAATTGTTGTGCTTTCGACAGCAACGAAATATTTGGCTCAAGAGGCGGATAATTCACCTTTCAGGATGGAAATATCTCATACAGAGGAAAATTTATCAACAAATATTTTATCCCTAAGTTACAAAATTGCTATCATATCATTATTATTGTTTCATTTAAGGGTTCATTTGTTGTCTGTGATTATTAGACAGCCGAAACGAAAAACTACTATCCCTTGTTTCGCATAAAACAAAGATTTTTCGGGAGCAAAATACGTATGGGAGTATCGAATAACGAAGGAGTAGTGCTAGACATGGCATTTCTTGCGTGTGCGGAGAATTCAATTTTTTTGAACTACTAAATCTATTTTTACGACAAAAATTTTTCATTCCGGCGCACTCTGCTTGTTTGGCACAAAAAATCCTTTTTTGATAAATTTCAAAAAAATATTTTCTTGGCACAAGTAAGAATTGTTTGAGAACTTTGTCGTTTTTCTCTCAGTGTACTGAAATTTTTTTGATAGTTGACGGTCATTTCAGTAAAATTCCCGGGAAAATCAGAAAGTTTTGTGTGCCATCACTGAATAAAAGGAATTTAGAACGACTCACATCACCTCAAACTTGTCTTCTTGTTTCCTGACGCAACTACTGAATCAGTTAATATTCATCTGATATTTTTTGCCCTTTCCAGTTGAACGAGTTAACTTCTGTGAACAACCTGACTCGAGAATTCGTAAACAATTTACTAACTATGTCGGTCGAAATAGCAGTAAAACTTGGAGCTGAACGAGACTTTGCGCACGAGGATTTGCTCAGTAGTATTCAATTCTTGAATGATCTAATCAAGGGAATTAGACTTGAGTTTTCCATTGTGAACTGTTCTCCTCAAGAGTAGAACGCAGATGCACATAATTTTTGCCATATTCTCCAGATAAAACGTGAGCACAGTAGTGCCTACACAGAATCCCCAAAGCGCATGACGATCGCCGAACTCTCCGAGTTGTACCCTAGTATTCCCTGGACAGAGGAATTCAACCAGTTGCTCCCTTTCTCCGATGAAGTGGACGACAGCGAAGTCGTCATCGTGAATCTGCCCAACTTCATTCCGGCGATGATAGAACTGATCGAACGCGTGCCACAAAGGACTCAAGCCAACGTTTATATAATGCTATTAATTGATCTGTTAGACGACCATCTGCCTAATGAGATAAGAACACTAAATCCCACATGGTCGTCCATGTATGGAATTGCATCTGGGGAACCTCGATGGAAGGAATGCGTGAAGGCCACCTCAGCGCAGCTTCCTGTAGCTGTTGGAGCTCTGTACGTTCAAAGTTATACCTCAAAGGAGGCTAAAAGACATGTCGTAGAGGTATTCGATGCCGTCAGAACGATGTTCCTGCACCTTCCGGATGGCGTCAAGTGGTTGAATAACAAAATGAGGACGATTCTGCGTGAGAAAGCTATCTCCATTCAGGATCACATTGATTACTCTGATGAGTTCTTTGATAATCAGAAACTCGAGGAGTACTATCAGGATTTGGAACTCAGCGATGAGCATTATCTACAGGCATATCTGAATATACAGTCCTTCAAACTTAAAAAATCATGGAGTGGATTGAAGAAACCTGTGGATAAGAACGACCTACTGCAGTATGAGGATCAACATAAATATGTTAATGCCAGTTTCGAACCTGTCAACTTTCCCCATGAGTGATCAATTTTCTGGATATGCAATGATTGGGGTTCGTGGTGATGTGACGAGTAGAAATACTCGAGAGCGATTGGCGTTTTTAACTAAACTAGCGATAATTTTTTAACAATTCCATACAATTACCATGATATTTGCCTTATGGGAATGTTGAATAAGTTGATATCTGCAAATCTAAGACTTCTAAAAGTGCAGCAACTAAATCCTTCTATCAATGTGCGTTAATACTTATTACAGCGGATACTCCCCACGATTTCAACTTCAGGGGAACGAATTCCACGAATTCAAATGATTGGGAATCCCCTGATTATACGGTGACGGTTTGAGTCAGGTACGAGAGGAACAGAGAGAGAGAGAATCTGTCTGTTTCAATCACTGATCTCTATAACCTCGCTAAGGGCCAGATTTTGGTTTAGCTAACCACAGTTAGATTTCGGTTATAGTTAAGTTAACGTCAAGATCTCTGATTGACCTCGGCGGTGGGGGGACCTAACTTAACTTTAACCATGGATTAATCCTGGCTAAACTGAACCAAAAACTCGCTCTAAGAGTGAAGCAAATTGAAAGTCAGCCAGCGCCACCGAATAGTTGCTCAGGTACTCAAGAAGACGCGACTGCGCACGCAGGTGGTCAGGGGGGGCGGACGTGTTCTGGGGCCCTATTCTCGAGTTTGAGGTGAACGGATTTGTGAACAGAAGTGACTCCGTTCACGTATCTCGTTGGGGAACGAAAGCTTTCGTAAACGAATCCTAGATCCACATGTGAATCAATTTCGTTGATGGATGTCGTTTTCGATTTTCTCATTTTCTGGTATTTGCAGGAGACAAAACATGAACTTCGTACCGGGGTCATAAGGACAGCTTACCAAGCTTACGTCAACTGGTTAAATGACAATGGACCGGAGAAAATGCTCGCAGGCATTCCTTACACCCCAGGGCAAATGTTCTGGATAAGTTCAACCATGCCTTTGAGTGGTGCACCTGGAACCAAAGTCTTCGAACTATACAACGACCTAGGGTTTGTTTACGACTTTGATTGTATGGAGTCGAATTGAAACTGAACCCCGAGGAGAAATTCACGATATGGTAATTCATGAATTACCGATGTTGACATAATGAATTTGTAGTTATTTTTATATTCGTTTGTACATATGTCAAAATTAATAAATTAAGAATCCCTATAAATGAAGATTTTCGAAACCTCTTTTTCCTTATTTTTGTTTACCAATAACCTATCGAGATCGTTTAAGGTGTTTTGTTTGTAGATCACCAGGGGAGGAGGGGGTGAAACAGAAGGGAATCTAACTGTTCTCGAGCCCTGATTCAATCGCTGAGCACGAAATTTTTCAATTTTCAAGTAACTATTTAAGTGTGGATTTGAACATTTTTTGAATTTTTGAACATTTTTGAAAAGGAAAAAGAGCCAATTAAAAATATAATTTAGCAATAAAAATGGAACACAACATTTTTTCTTCAAATCCAACACGTCTTTTGATTTTTCACATTTTTTTCAGATTTTTTGTCAACTTTTCAATACCCAAAAAAATTGCGATTGAAGAAAACTGTTTATTAACCATTAAAATTCAGGAAATCAATATAATGATCTGAAAATTTGCAGATAGTTGCTTTTTAGATGATGAATATGCGAAAAAATTACCGCAGAAATCTTCAAGTTTTATGAGATAATCATTAAAATCTGAATTTTGATGTTTCAAATGAACCGCGCTGGAGAGAGAATTGTGGGTAGCAATAGTAGTTCCGGTAGAGACCGCCAGAATAACTTACGAACTTACAAAAACTTTTTCAATCAAACGATCATTCATTTTTTTATTAAAAATCATAATCCATTTTTATTCAATATTCCCATTTTCAGTCGATTGTATTCCAGTTTATGCGTCAAATTTCCAAATAAAAACACTTTACTCACGTCATTACCTAATTAAAAACACTGGCGTTTCACAAAAATCACAAAATTTGTTTTGAATTTCACAATTTTTTCTCTCCGATGGAGCAATAAAATAAAATGAAAAAATGAAGAAATTTTTCATTTCATGTTCTGCAATGCCAAGTGATTGTACAAGATTGGACATTTGCGGTAATTATTCAGTGGTCACCGGATCCTCGGAAACACCCGCAGTCATCAATCTGTCAGATTCCCGCTCAATAAATTACTCATCGATCCATTCCAAACATCAGAATCAATTTCACAGCCTAATTTAAATGACTCCTCGCGCTTACACGTCTCCCCACGGGATTACCACCCCGACTGGCGTGCACGCGGTGCCTCAACCTCGGAGAATATTCCGCGGACTCTTGATTGGATAGAATACGATAGGAAGTCTAGTCGACAGGTAACAGTCCCAGGAGCGTACGAAATGCATTTTTCGCCCCGCAAAAATTTCCAAATTTCAAAAACACTCTCGACAATTTTTCTCACTCCCGACGACTCAGAAAAAAATTCTCCCATCAAAGTTCATTTGTAATTGACATTCTTTTTCAAAATCGACTCAGTGATTTTTATCAACAAAATTTACATCACTAAAAAGAAGGAGATTCTTTTTAATTAAAAATTCAATTAAAAAAATGGAAAAGTTGAGAAAAAAAATTTCTGAAAATTATTTTTGAGGGCTGAATTTTTTTTTTGGGGGGGGGGGGGACACTGAGTCGAGATGTTGTCATTAAAGACCACTCGGTGCATTGAAAAAATTCCGAGCGTTCGTCACTGAGCCACCAACTGTTGGCTCGACTCACCTGTTGGCCTCGGCAGTACCTGACCGGGGCTTCGAGCGTGCGGATATCCTCGCGCCCACCGAGAGAAACAAAAATCGCATCAACAAATTTCGTTCGCTATCGATTCCTCCGATCAATTAATTCGGGTTAATCTGGTCTCATCGACACAATTATCCCGATTAAACCGAGTTTCAAGTTCTTCTGATCAGTGACAAGTTGTGTCCGAACTCTATTTTTTTTTTGTTTTTGTTTCGTGGTGAATGGGAGGAAGACAGGAGTGACCGTAACATACCTTTCGATTTCTTCAACCGACGCCCGCCGGAAGGTAGGTCGACTTCCGTGACAAAAGTTTTTTCAGAATCCGGTCACGAGCCGGCGAGGGATTTTTTTTCAGCGTTTTAGGTCGTTAGGTATTCGTGGGATTCGTCTCAATTTCGTAGACAAAAAGAGAAATTTTGATGTGGGAAAATTTGGGGTCTGAGAGCGAAGGATTGGAGAGACCATTCCGGAAATTTCCGTTTTTATTGACGAAAATGTTAATTGAGTCATTGAAAGATTTTTGCATTGCTGAGTAAATGAAGAAAGTGAAATAAAATGTAAAAATTTCAGAGAAAATCCTAGCATATTCTGGAGACAACTTATTCTATTCAAATATTTGCTAAAATATTTATAATATAATATATTATATTTATCACAACATATGATATTATCCTTATAAAATATTATATTTTAATTTGTAGGAGTTTCCATAGAAATTGTTTCAATAGAAAAATAAAATTCTATTGAGTGTTTCTATAAAACAGTTTCTCTTGGACATTTTCTATAAAAAAAGATTTCTCCAATAATTCAATTCAATAATAATTAGCCATGAACTCAGAGAAATTGCAAGAGAAGTTCAATAGAAATCCAATAAAATCTCCTATTCAATTGCTGAACAAAATGAAGAAATTGAATAAAGTCTGCGCAATTCCAACAATTTGTAAAATTAGTTATTGAATTTCAACTAGTTGGCGAACTTTACCAAATAATTTTCTCCGTGTGGTGTCTACTTTTATGTAGATATTTTTAACGATTCAATGGACTCTCTAGTGAATAAGACATATGAAACTGTAAAAACTTATTATTGACGTCACCTACAACAATTACGACCTCTTCCCTCTTTCTTATGTTCACTATCTTGATCTCTTCCCTTTGCTGCTAAACATTTTTTGACCTCTTTTGCGTTATACCTCTTGCATTCATTATCAAGTGCGAATATTTAAACTGCGATGCGTTTATTATTTCCACACTATTTATAAGTCTTGTCATTGGCTTCGGCTGTCTTGACTTGAATAAACAAACAAATAAATAAATAAATAAATAAATAAATAAATAAACATTGCAAGCTCTATCCCATAAAAATCGCAACAAATAACTCAAACAAAGATGTGACAACAATTCCGCAAAAAGCTGCAATTTTTACTCCCAAAAGCAGTCCAAATTCTTCATCAAACGATTACTAAACTAGAAATATCCACTCAGTGCCAAAAAGTGCCGAAAACGCGTTTACATTGGGTTTCCCACAGGTTACCTCGCAGAGAACAACAGATGAACCGAGTATCTCTTATCTCAAACACTCGGCAAAAATTCTACCCGCGATGTTTGTCGAAATAAAAAATTTCTACGTCACCGCGAGATAAAATGAATTCTCTCCAGCGTCTGTAAAAAATCTCCTTTCATTAAGGGTATTATGGCAGGCTCCGAAAAAGCAAAGAATTGAATGAAAATTTTTCAACATATTATTTAACATATGGAATAATCGAACGCAAAATATCAAGAATCGCATGTACAGAATAACAATGGAAAAAAGTTCTAAAGTTGCTATTTATACACGCGGTTGCGGATAACGTAGGGGAAACGTTGAAACCATTGTCAAATAAAATGTTGAAATGAAACTGTTAAAAACATTCAACAAATAAAAATAATGAAAAATTATTTCCATTGTTATTGTGTACATGGGGTTCTTGAAATTTTGCGCATGCTTCTTAAAGGGATTGAATAATGTGTTGAAAATTTTTCCTGATTTTTTCAAATTCCCCCTGACCCCACCAGAACCCTTAATCCTGGATTGGTCACCACATGAGGAAAAAGCCGCAGCGAATTATTTTATAATTCAATTACGACTAACTGGACCACTGCATAAATTTTAAAAAAATTCATTTTTGCATTTGAAGTGTTCAAAAAATTATAGTATTTTTTAGAAAAAAGTAATTCCCTAAATTCATAAAGCAGGAAATGATTTCCAACAGATGAATTATTTTTTCCCATGTTAACGATGTCAAGCAAGGTGATCAGACTAGGGTTAATTAGCCCAATAAAAAAATTTTTTTTAAGTCGTATGTGTTAATTCATGTGCGTTTTTCTTCATTACTGAGGGCCTTCGCCGCCTGCTCGTTTCGCTCGCCCGCCAGGGCGCGCGTCGGCCACCCGCTCGCTTCGCTCGCCCCCCTCTTCTTGGGTATGCTCAGGTAGCTGCGCCCCTTACTCGCTCCGCTCGACAGTCCCCATATGATCCTCATATAACTCCTTTATAGCTGCGTATGCCCCTCGTGATCCTCATTTTGACCCCCATGACGCCTATTTGACCCTTCCGACCCTTAGTTTCGGGGTCTTAATGTCAAGCACCAAATTTTTATCACCAGAAGTCGATTTGGATTTTTATAATATACACGGAGAGAAATTTTTGGTAAAAATTATCCTACCGTTCTGTAAAAGTGTATCATGAGTCATCATTTCCTCGTTTTCTCGGAGGGGTTACGGCGGTAGAACTTTGTAAAGGAAATGCATCAGAACCTGCCTAGGGAAATTCATAACACCTCAATTAAACTAAAAAATTAAACAAAAAAATTCACAGTACCCATAAGGGCCATAAGGGCCTCCGGTTCCGCATAGGTTACAAGGGTCAAGAGGGTCAAAAGCCCTTATTTGACATTGTTATGAGTTTTTTTTATTTTTCTTTATTTTAACCCCCATTACCCTTATTGGACCCTCGTGACCCTTGCGACCGCTAGTTTCTGACCCTCAATTTCGAGTACTAAATTTTCATCACTGGAAGTCGATTTGGATTTTCACAATATAGAGAGATTTGTTTAAATTTTCGTTCCATTACATGGGAATGCAGGGGAAAAAATGGGGAGGCGAAAATAATTGAGACGAGTAGAAATGATGTGAAAAAATGAAATTAAATTCAGCATATCCTTCGGGGAGTGTAAGAGGGTCGTGTACACAGCGCTGGGTTCCCACGGAATCTCACGATATAAAACCGTGACGATGTTGCTCGGTTAGCTCTTCGCAGAAGACAATATATCCTCCATATCCTCTTCCACCTCTTCTCTTT